TCTATCTTCACTCTCTGTTTTGTTCCCGAAAGATAATCAATCACTCACCTCAAAAATTATCTATGAAAACCCATACTTTCCAGCTTTTTTCCAGAATTTTATGATTGAATTGATGATTTAAGGTGGTAGACGCTTTTTACTCATTGGGCGTCGACCGGTGAGATACCACCATGCCAGAATTGAGTAGCGCTAAGTGGTATCACCACGTTCCGCTACTGCGCTGGCAGTCCGGTTCCAACAATGAGTAACAGATAGCATGATGGCGCCTCCAGGATCAAAATATTCCGGAGGTAAAATACCCGACCACTCGGATCTCCGGGCGTCGGGTGATCCTGGGGGTCCTTCATGCAAAGATATAAAGAGAAGATCAAAAACTCAACTCAGAATTGATTTTAGCAATATGAGAGGAATAAGTACAAATATGAATTCAGTTCACCAACATCTTGAAGAACAAAGACCTGACATCCTTGTTCTCACTGAAACTAAAATCAGTTCTGCAACACCTATTGTGAACTATCTTTATCCCGGCTATGACCTACACCACCGATTTCGACATAATTTTGGGATCTGTGTGTACATTAAAAATGACCTTTCATGTCATCGAGAGGAAAAGCTAGAACCAGCGAACCTTGATATCATATGGCTAAAATTCACCTCAAAGTCATCGACCAAGTTTATCTGCTGCCTCTACCGACCGCCAAGTAACACCGAATACCAAAACTTTTTCGCGACATTATCCGGAAGCTGTGATAGTATACAGTCAAACTATCCACAGGCGGAAATTGTCTTTTTAGGCGATTTCAACGTCCACAATATACCCTGGCTGAAACACCACAACAAAACAGATAACGAAGGCAGAGAAGCAGAAGCTTTTGCCATAAGTTGTGGTCTAACGCAGCTTGTCGATGAACCTATTCGTATCTCAGAAAGGGGCGAATTTGCAGCGCTTTTAGACTTGTTCCTAACCACAAATCCTGACTCGTACACAATTCAAGTAGATGCTCCACTTGGTTCGTCCGATCATAAGCTTATAATAACAAAGTGCGAAATGCTCATCCCACCAAGCCAACAACCACTTCCTCGTAAAATGTGGCACTATAAATCGGCAAAATGGAATGACCTAAAACAGTTTTACATGGATTTTCCATGGCAAGAGGTTTGCTTTAAAATAGCTGATCCCACTATTTGCTGTAATGAAATAACACAAGCAATCTTATCTGGAATGGACGCATATATCCCACATACAACTAAACGTAGAGCTAATGCAAAACCTTGGTTCAACAGCCAGTGTCAAACGGCTGTACAGAAAAAACACAGAGCATATTATAACCTTTGGAAACGACAACAAACCGCTCAAAACCACACAGAATTTCTAGAAGAAGAAGAAGTTCTAGGTCCTTTTGGTCTCTTGCAAAAGCTGTTGGATCTAACTTCACCAAGTCATCCATACCACCACTTTCAGATAAAAATAATCCCTTAAGCCACAACATCAGAGGAAAAAGCCAATATGCTTGCCCAAATGTTTCCCTCCAACTCCAACCTAACAGTGCCAAACGGAAAAACTCCACCGTTCATTGAAAGGGTTTCCCATAGTATGCCAGAGGTACCCTTTTGTCACAGAGAAATACGAAAATCCCTAAAAAAGCTGGATACAAACAAAGCAATGGGTCCGGATGGCATTCCCGCCCTAGTACTCAAAAATTGCGCCAACGAACTCACCCCAACTTTCGCAAAATTATTCAATTTGTCTTACAGGCAAGGAGTATATCCATCATCATGGAAGTCTGCCGCAGTACAACCCATTCCAAAGAAAGGAAAAAAGACAGATCCGTTAAACTATAGACCAATTGCCCTACTTCCGGTGATATCAAAAGAAATGGAAAGAGTTGTGAACAATCACCTAACCAAGTACTTGGAAAAGTACAAAATTATCAACGATAAGCAATACGGATTTCGAAAATATAGGTCAACTGGCGATTTACTTACATACGTCACTCACTTATGGCAAAAAGCGATTGAGTTGCGGGGTGAAACAAGAACAATTGCCTTAGATATATCTAAAGCATTCGACAAAGTTTGGCATGAAAATCTGCTCAACAAGCTCAAAACAATGGGATTATCGCCGAAACTTTTGCACTTGGTTTGAAAGTTACCTAAAGGACAGATCCATTTATGTTGCACTGGATGGCCAGAACTCCAACTCTTACCAAATAAATGCTGGTGTGCCACAGGGAGCAATCCTTTCGCCAACTCTTTTTCTGATTTACATAAATGACCTCATAGATAAAACAGTAAATCCACTTTATTGCTTTGCAGACGATGGCAATGTAGTCTCCTCACTCATACCACCCACAGGTCTTTCCGCACGTGAATTCCATCATCTTAGACTAACTCAAATATCGCAGATAAATAACGACCTGGAGATAATAGAGGACTGGGGTAACAAAAACCTTGTACAGTTCAACGCGCAGAAAACCCAAGCAGCTCTGTTTTCAAAAAAGACCAGCACCGGTGAGCCAAACATCATGCTATCTGGAAGTGCTGTCACATTACAGAGTCAGTTGAACATCTTGGGGGTTACTGCAGAGACCAACATGTCTTAGCACAGTCACGTGGCAGATATTGCTAAAAGGACGTCCCAAAAGCTGGGGGTGCTATTTCGTACAAGACATCTGTACACACCAAGCCAATTGCTGACACTCTACAAAGCCCAGATTCGACCAACTATGGAGTACTGCTCACATATATGGAGTGCAGCACCCAAACATACCTTAATGCTTTTGAACACCGTGCAAAAACGAGCTATCAAGCTGATCAATGACCCCGCACTTACTCGTAACTTGGATGGTCTCGAACATCGCAGATCTGTGGGCGATTTATCTCTCTTCTACAGGTACTATCACGGAAAATGCTCTGAAGAGTTGGCACGTATGATTCCACCGAGAGTAGCGCCTACCAGGCGAACCCGTCAAACAGACGGTAACCATGAATTTACTGTCAAACTAGAGGCACCAAGAACCTCATTATATCAGAATTCATATCTCTGGAGAACAGCATCGCTGTGGAATAAACTCCCTGCGACGGTTTTTCCTGCAGGTTACAACCTGAACCGTTTCAAGACCAACATACACCGACATTTCCGCGCACTCGCCGCTTCTCGAGCGTGATAGGACATTTCCTTGCGAGTGCGCATATCCGTAAAAAAAAAAAAAAGACCGTGTTTGCTCAAACTTCAACAAATTGGTAACTGTGAATTTGTCTTTCATGAACCCATATTCTGGTATAATTATATTCTTTTTAACACCTCTAGTGTTAATTTGTCTGTAACTATTGACTCAAAAATCTTAAAAAATATAGAAAATTTTTGTCACCACTCGTCTTCCAAACCGTTGGAAAAATTCCTGTGGACTATTGTAGATTTCACACAGGATGTAAGAGAACAAGTATATACAGGGTGTTCATTTTAAAACTTACCACCCCTATTAATGGAAATTGAAAATTTTCGAGAATATCCCTGAAACACGTCAACCCCCCAGCCCCCAGAGCCACTTCCTAGAAAATCTTAAATGGGAAAAGGAGTCATACATTTTGGTACTAAATTTCAATCCCTAACTACGACTGTTTTGGAATTTTTTTCAGTTAAGCCGGAGTCTCATGCAGCCGTTTTCCGACGAAAGATGTCCGAAAAATGTTCTATTTTGACATATTTTCATACGATTATGTCAGAATAGAAGTTTTTTCGGACATCTTTCGACTCCGGCTTTAGTTGAAAATTGACTTTTTTGGGAATTTGACAGGCTCTTAAATCTAAACGGTTCATTTTAGAAGAAAACCTATCTAACATTCTTATCTTAGATTTTATAAACTATCATTTGACAGTAACTTTGAATTTAATCCATGATCAAAAATTCCGGTTAAAAATTGAATCTCCGGTTAAATTCAAAGTTGGTGTCAAATGATAGTTTATGAAAATCTGAGACAAGAATGTAAAATCGGTTTTCCTCTAAAATTAACCTTTTAGGTTTTACAGCCTGTCAAAGTTGCAAAGAGTCAATTTTCAACTGTCAATATTTCCAAAACAGTTGAACTTAGGCATAGGGTACATTACATGAAATCTGCTCAGAATTTTACGTGAAATCCAAAAATGTAATCACATACAGGGTGTTCCATTTAAAAAAGCAGAGTTATGTCGCATACCCCATATAAGGAGCACCCTGTATATTCAAAAATATTTTTAAGTAATGCATATTAGAGTATCAAACAACTTTGTAATTTGATTTTTTTTCTTGCTTCACCCTGTGAGGAGATATCGTCCGATATCGCAGTAAGTGGACACCCTGTATATGCTTTTAAATGACAGAAAGAGGGATACCATCTCCCAAGTTATCCTTCAGATGGAAAATCTTATTATGTATATCCATAAAATTAATGGACAAAAAGTCTAAATTAACAGTAATATCACAACACATACCGACTAAAATTGTTTGAACCATCATACCTTATATACGGAGGTATTACAATGATCTTTAAAAAGCTATAAGTTTCGCAGGTGAATTTGCTTTCTTATCTTTCAAAGTCCTACAGCTGGGAAAACCTTTGGAATCTTTTTTAGATCTTATATAACTCCAAAACCCATTTTTATCTTGAACTCAATGACGACGTAGGTATATTAATTAAACTATTGATTTCTAATTTTTTTAAGTATGGTGCTTCACCCCTAAACCATAATTTTTTTATAAGTGAACCAGTGAATAAGGTGTTATGCTAGTCGTCTAGACCAACTGAGAATACCAAGTAGTGAAACTTCAATATAGATACCTCAATACATTTTAATGGATATCAAAGTTCGAATTATTTTTGTTTTTGCTACCTGATAATATGTTATAAAGTAGTACCTATTTTTATCACAGACATTTTACTATTATCAGGAAATTATTCATCGGGAGCAATTAAAAAAACCTTCAATGATATCAAAAATCTGGCTTTTTTGGATCAGTAATTGGCTATCTTCTGAACACTCCGGTTGTGATATTAATATTAGTGTTAATTTGATTGAATTATATTAGTGTGTGTGTAATTGCATTTAAAATGAATAAGTGTTTAGTATCAATTTATATTTCGTTATTATTAGGTGAGTAATAGTTAATAACTTGAATTTTTAATTCAATAATTTTATTTCAAAATACAGGTAAAATCTGTTTTTTTTTTAAAGATAAAAGTCAAAATGACATTCTGTTGGCAATACAATGTAAAATTGTCAATGCTTTCAAATTTTTTATGTAGAAAAGGCTTGTGTTGCCAACATAGTTACTAAATTTTTGACTTGGGGAATTATCTTTAAAAAAAGAAATAGACTTTACAGTCATGAGCAAAAAAAGTGGGACACCCGACTGACAGGTCTTGTCATTTTTCGCTATTTTGCGTAACAGTCTTCTTTCTACATTCGATTTTTTGTCAAATATGACAATTCCTGTCATTGCCGTAAGTATAGCTGGTGAGCCCGTTTTACAATAGGAAAAAACGGGTGTCCCACTTTTTGTGGTCACGACTGTACCTAGAATTTGTCTTTATTTTATGGAATAAAATGTATACACGACAGTTCAAGTTTTTGAAACTTAGGTACTTACCTAGAATTAAAGCTTTTCGGAACTGAATTCCTAATCTGAAATATGTCTTGTTGATCCTCATAAATTGCGATTGTTGTTTGATCTTTCATTTATTACATACTATTTTAACTGATTAGGCAAGTAAAGGTTTATTAAAAGGGCCATATTCTCCGTAGTTCATAAAGCTTGGCTTAGTGGAAACACTTGGATTTTTGTGTGACAAAGCTGAGCTTTTCCACTAAGTTAGGCTTTATGAACTACGGAGAATATGGCCCTGTCTTAGTTTTTCTTTTGATTTGATTGATTGATTCTCTTAACGTTTTTTCTTGTTTTGTTATGGAATATATCTTTCACATTTGAATTAGGTATGTCTAAGTGATTAATCGTTGCCAAATCAGTTCAAGGTATTACTTTTGGAAGATTGGATCATTAATCATAGCTTTTTGTTTGATTATTTTTGGAGTTGGGTATTATTATTTTGGATTTCCGTTAAAGTACTAAGACGTTAAAAAATTGGTTGGAAAAGTGCAATTTTTATGAGTAAAAAATTGCGGTGAATTCCTGAATAGTTTTCGAGATACAGACACATTAAACGTGACTGTAGAGTACCTCTAGGATCTCGCTCTCCTTCTGACTCTGAGCCTCCAAAGGAGATCCAGGAAAACTTAAATTAGCCAACACGGAGAGGCGGGTGTTAGCTAGTGCAAATGAACCCTGGAGTCATAACCACGAAAATTCTAGAAAGACTGCGGAAAGTTTGACTATTGAAGGAAATATTAATGGGAGAAATATCATTCGATTCGAACATTGCTAAGAATTTCAGTGCAGAGCCATTTTTAAGCGGGTTATTCTGCGCACAGTGACTGGACAGACCTCAAATGAGCATGGAGAAACAAAAATTGACCTGAGATCAGGAAACATCAAAATCTGTCACAAAGGGCTGATTATTGCTGATATAGAGGATGAGTTAATTTTGGGTATGGACTTGATCCATCAACATGGATTTGCATTCGACAACCAGCTCAACATCCTGAAATTTGGCACTGAAAAGTTTGTACTGTCTAAATCCAAGTTGGAGAATGATAATTAACCCAAAAAAATTGGTATTACTCGAGATTTTGTGTCTTATAAAATAACATCTCTTGGAAATACCAATACAGATGGGGGCCATGTTAGATAATAGATTTATAGCCAACCAACCACCAGGGGCCTCGAACAAGTTGCTTGCGATAGTTTCCTAAAATCTCAAGAGCATACCTAAGACTGTACAAAATTTGAAATACTTGGCACAAAGTGCACGATTCTTATGAATTCGCCCTATGCTATAATAAATAAGCGCACAATACATATACATGGTCTTCCATTTAAAAAAATATATATATAACTTCGCTCTGCTACATTTTTTTGATATATATTCTTAAAACTGACTTACTTAAAAACTTCTGACAATTTCTTAAAACTTATGTATTTAACATTTCGGTTAAAAACGTCAAATGGAAAAGATAGGATAGGGTGACATTTATAATAGACCACCCTGTACATTTCTTGGACATCAAACTACCTGTATCCCGAAAACTATTAATTGTATCGGGTTGGGCCTATGAGAACTTTTTATCAGGATGTCCAGGTATACCAATATAATACATCACATTTGAGTTTGGCAGAAAACCAAATCCCATAAGAGGTGTTCTTCGTTCTAAATTTATTTCCTTTTGGATTTTCTCTCTTCTTTCCAATCAAAATCTATCCAGTATATTCTTGAATCTGGCAAAGTTTGTGTTTAACAATAAAATAACGTATAAATTGAAGCAAGCTAGTCATAAATGCGTATAGGAAATATAGCATGTATAGGAAGGTACCGGAATTTAATATTCGTTAGGTTTTTCCCATTAATATTTTCCTGGTTTTTATTCGGTCGCTTGTAAAGCCCTTCTCAAAATTAGCTTGTTCTTTTTCCTGATATTTGTCCAATTTGGATGTCTTTGTTAATAGTTTGTACATTACATTGAGAAGAGTATTCATATATTTCTGTAATTCTTTAGATCTTTTCTGACTCCTTTTCAGAATAACGGTATAAATTAATAACACATGCTATTTGGATTTGTTCTTTACATTTTAAGTGTAGTCGTGAAGTATAGTAAACGCCACTCGATCCGAGTACCTATGTGAAGGGAACAGTGACTGATAAAAAAATCATTTAGGATGCTTGATAATTGGGAATCATTATTTTAGTCAGTCATCAAAGTTTTAAATCTCGAAAGATAAATACAAAGTGACTATTTCGTTGTAGGCCATTGTTTTTTTATCTAATTCGAAATCACATCTTTTTATGAAAGCACCTGAGTAAATAGAACGTTATTTCCATTTCAAGTGGGCAGCTGTGCGTGTGTTGATTAACTTTTATAAATTAAAACTAATGACATTTGCAATATTTTACGTTTATAGAATTGTTGATATTGCTAATGAATATATCTACCTATTTCTTTGGAAATATTCTTGTTGACAAAAATCAAAGTGAAGAAAAGGCAAAAATTGCCTTTAGGAAGTTATCTGATAGATACCTTCAACACATTTACATCAGATAAAACTAAATTGTTAAATGATGTACACTCTTGCATTGATTCATATTTCCTACCAAAGCCCAACAATGGCAACATTCAAGTTTATCCTTATGTTGCAAAGAAAAAATCAAAGAATTAACTCGTTCATCACTAAACTGAAGAAGCATGAACGAACTCTCGTTTGATATGTTCAAATCAATCAATGGTTGATCGTTGATAAACAGAAATCTATGATGACAAAAAGTAACGCATTATTTTTTCACAGTTTTCAATCACACATTCGCTTTCAACGAGACTTGCACAGAAGATACAAATTGCTCGGCGGAAGAAGTATGTGAGGATCAAGTTTGTAAATGTGCCAAATTATATACGTATAGCGAGGAACAAAATAAATGTGTAAAATGTATGTATAGATATATTAAGTATAATTATGATATAAATACATGCGCGATATTCAAAATTTCCTTATTTTTTTTTTTATTTTCTACTAGACGCTACAGAGTATGGTTCAATTTGTTACATGGATTCGCAATGTACACCATTTCTTGGAGCAAATTCAGCGTGTATTAATAATATTTGCGTTTGTAATGCAGGAAATTTTAGGTAAGAAACTTTTATTTATTACTCTTTTATGTTTTTATTGAAGCGACTCGAATACATAGGTATTTACTTCAGTTTGCCTTGGTCTCAATTCGAATGCAAAATTTTTGAAAGTTTCTTTAGAATGTTGCATAGAAGAACATCAAAATCTTCGTTCCTAAAGAATATTGTATGCTTCTTTTTTGGATCCATTTTCTCCAAAAAGATTTATAATACTTCCTTGTAATTCATTGTTGCTTACTTAAACGTGTAGTTTGGATTTGTTAGGGAAAGCTGCTGCCATTATTGGCTTTGCTGGATTAAATTTAACAGACTTCAGCACAAATTGGTTATTGTAATAATTAGGGGCTCTTTCCTTAATTGGAATGCCGAGTATTGAAACTTTTTGAGCTATATGTGTCTGGGTATTTTTCATCTTCTTCCAGATCATGGGTATAGATTCCAGAGCATCTGCATTGGTATTTGATTTTCCTTTCCTATAGTTGATCTCATATCCAAACTTAGTTTTAAACGTCATCTAACTATTTTTGATTTATTGCCTTTCATGAAAAAAAACAATGGAGAATAGTGAATACAGCGATCTGATAGTATTTTAAACAGCCTTTCTTCTAAATAAGTAAGATCTGAAGTACTTGGTGACCCAGTTTATGGCTAAAATTTAGTTGCTACCATCAGTACCTAATTACTTTTTCATTAAATTTCACAAATTCTGATTCAGTTTAGTAGTTTTAGCGAAGTCCTTAATAAACTTTCTGTAGGTAATATCCAGGGAGGCCTAGAAATCATTGTATTTCCTTTGTGGTTTGCGGTTACTGCGGTATAGTCAAGTAGGTACCTTAGAGCTTCCATTTTAGCTGAAGTTGGTCTTATGCCTTCTGTTGTAACGTAACGATATTTCCAAGAAAAGCCCAACATTTGTCCATTGAATCCACTTTCTCATCAGTCATTGGAAGATTTTTGAAAGGTAGACTAGATGTTCTCAAAGTGAGGTGCTGAACACAAGTGTAGTAAGCGCCTGTTAATGGAAGACAAGTTTTTTGCTCATTTTAATATCTGGATTAGTATGGTGGAGAATTGAGAAGTCTCCTATTTTTTACATAAAATCAGTGTTGCCAACTGCGGATCAACTATTATAGTATAGAACACTATAAAATTATAGTACATTTGTACAAATTACTCCTGCTGGAGACAGATGACCACCAATTGTCCTGGTGGGACACACAGACATCGAACTGTTATGAAATTTTCTGGACAAAACGAGAAAAGTCAGGGGCGTATCATTCAAATTTATCAAATGAAAAATAAACCTATTGGAAATTAATGAAAATCAACTAAATTAGTCATAAATGCACCATCTAACATTTTATTTTGTTTCTGGAAAACTATTCAAGGGAAAATTATAACATTTTTTGGAAAAAAAGAAGAAAATCAAAGGCGTAGCATAGTAAAATTTCAAATTTTTCCAGTGGAAAATAACCTCATTGGAAATTAATGAATATCAACTAAATTAGTCATAAATGCACCATCTAACATTTTATTTTTTTTCTGGAAAACTATTCAAGGGAAAATTATGACATTTTCTAGAAAAAAAAGAAAAGTCAGGGGCGTATTATACTGAAATTTCAAATTTATCAAATGAAAAATAAACCTATTGGAAATGAATGAAAATCAACTAAGTTAGTCCTAAATGCACCTTTTAATATATATATTTTTTTTTCTGGAAAACTATCCAAAGGAAAATTATGAAATTTTCTGGACAAAACGAGAAAAGGCAAGGGCGTATCATACTAAAATTTCAAATTTTTCCAGTGAAAAATAACCCCATTGGAAATTTATGAAAATCAACTAAATTAAGCATAAATGCATCATCTAACATTTTATTTTTTTTCTGGAAAACTATCCAGAGAAAAATTATGAAATTTTTTGGAAAAAAAAAAGAAAAGTCAGGGGCGTATCATACTAAAATTTCAAATTTTTCCAGTGAAAAATAACATCATTGGAAATTAATGAAAATCATCTAAATTAGACATAAATGCACCATCTAACATTTAATTTTTTTTTCTAGAAAACTGTCCAGGAGAAAATTATGACATTCTCTGGAAAAAAAAAAAGAAAAGTAAAGGGCGTATCATAATGAAATTTCAATTTTTTCCAGTGAAAAATAACCCCATTGGAAATTAATGAATATCAACTAAATTAGGCATAAATGTACCATCTCACATTTTGGTTTTTTTCTGGAAAACTATTCAAGGGAAAATTATGACATTTTTTGGAAAAAAAAGAAGAAAGTCAGGGGCGTATCATAGTGAAATTTCAAATTTTTCAAATGAAAAATAATCCTATTGGAAATTAATGAAAATCAACTTTATTAGGCATAAATGCACTATCTAACATTTAATTTTTTTTCTGGGAAACTATTCAGGGGAAAATTATGACATTTTCTGGAGAAAAAGAGGAAAATCAGGCGCATATCATAGTAAAATTTCAAATTTTTCCAGTGAAAAATAACCCTATTGGAAATTAATAAAAATCAATTAAATTAGGCATAAATGCACCATCTAACCTTTTATTTTTTTTCTGGAAAACTATCCAAGGGAAAATTATGAAATATCAAATTTTTCCAGTAAAAAATAATCCTATTGGAAATGAATGAAAATCAACTAAATTAGACATAAATGCACCATCTTACATTTTATTTTTTTTCTGGAAAACTATCCACGGGAAAATTATGAAATTTCCTGGAAAAAAAGAAAAGTCAGCGGCGTATCATAATAAAATTTCAAATTTTTCCAGTGAAAAATAACCCCATTGGAAATTAATGAAAATCAATTAAATTAGACATAAATGCACCATCTAAAATTTTCATTTTTTTTCTGGAAAAGTATTCAGGGGAAAATTATGACATTTTCTGGAAAAAAGAGGAAAGTCAGGGACGTATCATAGTGAAATTTCAATTTTTTCTAGTGGAAAATAACCCCATCGAAAATTAATGAAAATCAACTAAATTAGGCATAGATGCACCATCCAACATTTTTTTTTTCTTCTGAAAAACAACTCAGGGGAAAATTATGACGTTTTCTGGAAAAAAGAGGAAAGTCAGGGACATATCATAGTAAAATTTCAAATTTTTCCAGTGAAAAATAACTCCATTGGAAACTAATGAATATCAACTAAATTAAGCATAAATGCACCATCTAACATTTTTTTTTTTTTCTGGAAAAGTATTCAGGGGAAAATTATGACATTTTTTGGAAAAAAGAGGAAAGTCGGGGACGTATCATAGTAAAATTTCAATTTTTTCTAGTGGAAAATAACCCCATTGAAAATTAATGAAAATCAACTAAATTAGGCATAAATGCACCATCCAACATTTTATTTTTCTTCAGGAAAACAAGTCAGGGAAAAATTATGACGTTTTCTGGAAAAAAAAGAGGAAAGTCAGGGACGTATCATAGTAAAATTTAAATTTTTTCCAGTGGAAAATAACCTCATTGGAAATTAATGAATATCAACTAAATTAGGCATAAATGCACCATCTAACATTTTAGTTTCTTTCTGGAAAACTATTCAAGGGAAAATTATGACATTTTTGGGAGAAAAAGAAGAAAGTTAGGGGCGTATCATAGTAAAATTTCAAATTTTTCTAGTAAAAAATAACCTCATTGGAAATTAATGAATATCAACTAAATTAGGCATAAATGCACTATCTAACATTTTTTTTTTCTGGACAACTATTCAAGGGAAAATTATGACATTTTCTTGAAAAAAAAAAGAAAATCAGGGGCGTATCATAGTAAAATTTGAGATTTTTTCAGTGGAAAATAATTTTATTGCAAATTAATGAAAATCAATTAAATTAGGCATAAATGATGCACCATCCAACATTTTATTTTTCCTCTGGAAAATTATTCAAAGGAAAATTATGACATTTTCTGGAGAAAAAGAGAAAAGCCAGAGGCGCATCACACTAAAATTTCAAATTTTTCCCGTGAAAAATAACAAAAGACAGTGTAAACCCAGTCACCAAAAAAACACTATACTAACATCTTTTGACAGGGCGACTAGACATAAGAGCTCGCACACCAACACATTAGGAAACCAATAAGATTAGGCAACAGATTAAGGGCTTGCAGCCAACAAATTAGGATTTAAAATAGGCTAAAGAGAACTGGAATAAGGAATTTTTCAGTAAAAAACTAAATAATTTGATAAAGCATAATTATAGTATTTTAGGCGTATTATAATGATCGCTTTGATAGTACATAGTACATAACCATTCAATTATAGTACAAATACTATAATTATAGTACGGTTGGAAACACTGCATAAAATTGTTATCACTGTTGTCATTTTTAAGGAAATTGGTTTAGCATGTGACTACTCATGAAATTTACTTTTGTTATCGTCCATGCTAGGCTTGCAAAGTTTCCGTTTTCACTTTCACAATTTTGTTACGTTTTAAAGGTGGTATCAGGGAAAATGTCAACAATACGCAAGCAAGAATGATTCGTGTACTTCGGATAGTCTTTGTATGGACCTGAAAAATCCTCTAGCTTTAAAATGTGGCACTGGGAATACTTGCGAATGTAGCGATGGTTATTATGACAGAGGAGCTGATTGTCGATTGAAATCAGAAAAAGATGCAGGTAAGTCTTATTCTTAATTACTACAATGTGAATAGAAATAGGAGAAACTAATTTTCTAGAATGTGCAATAACAATGGATTGTTTTCCAACAATGAATCAATATCTTCATTGCGAACTGGGAAAATGTGTGGAAAATGTTAAATCTGAATCATGGACGACTGATAACTTCACTAATAACTATAGTATCGGTAAAGCGTTTACTTCCAATGCGATGGTTAATAACGATGCATCATGTCCTAATGGTAAGTAATAAGCGCTTGACAAAAAATATAATCCAGTGATTTAGTTTCAATTGATTTAAAATTTAAAGGTGTCGCCTCCAGCATGACAAAAGACGAATGCAGTCAGTGTTCGAATGCCTTCTTTTTCCAAGATTCCATCTGCATATGCAAGCAAGGCTTTTTCCTGAATGATGGCAAATGTATTGCGGAATTAGGCATGAAATCAGATGAAATTGTCCATTACACTAACGATTCAGATTGCCCAATCAAACCTGGAAAACTTGTAGACGGAGCGTGTTATTGTAGGGATTATTGGTTCCAGCATAGTACTAATAGGGAGTGTAAAAAAAGTACGTTTACATACTAATAAAACTCAATCATAAACGTTTGGTATTTTTTAGCTACTCTTGAATATACTCATAATTGTATGGATAACGATTGGTGTAAAGCCATGGGCGATTACGCTTATTGCAATGCCGAAACTGGAAAATGCCAATGCAGCAGTCAAGCTGAATTGAACGAAACGTCTTTCTATTGTGACAAGAAAAAGGATGCCGATTTCACTGGACTTTGCTTATCCGATTCGGAATGTCCACTTTATGAAAGTTGTATCGATGAAAGGTGCCAGTGCGACGACGGATTCTATAGACTCGACCAATCCGATAATTGTTTACCAAGTAAGTATTTTTATAAATCTCTCATGTTGTGATTCAGCTGACCAATCAAACGAGGAAAAAATCTCGAAAAATAGGAGTAATCATACATAAACCCTGACCCATGAGTTACATACGGCTCTACATTGTATATTTTATTTAATCAGCATATTATTTTTCATTAGCTTGCATTCTGTATTCTCTTTTTGTAGCTTCTACTTGCCGAGCGTCGTCAGTCAGAGCTTTGCATTCACTTTCGACGCTTCGAATTTTAATAAATTTTAAACGTAAAAATATTGTAATAGTTTTAAGTGAAATAAATTTGTTTTTAAAAAATCGTACATCGCGTACTGATTTGTAACTGGCGCAGTCGGTAGGATAGTCAGGAATCAATACATCGAGTATCGATTTATCGTGAAACGGTCAACTGGCTATCCGAAAGAACTTACGGTTCGGGATTTTGATTGAACATCAGAAACTTTCGACCGTGACTACGGAAAGTGCTCGTGTGCGTAAAGCAATTAATTGGGGATTGTTTCGCGACGGCATTTTGAGAATTGATAACAAACTCTATCAATTCTGCGAGGACTTAGTGCTTTTGGACTTGGATTACAAAATTGCCACCAGAGGACTGAGGCCTTATAGTACCACCTAGACATAAGAAGAAAACTCTATGGCACGAAAATTGATAGCATATTTTATGTAAGTGCAATTTGTAAATGTCTGATTTGGACGACTTAATTAACTCTTTTGAAAGTATTGAGATAAACGATAATAGCTCTGACTCCGCTTCAAATACAGAAGTGTTAACTGATCAATCTAATAATCAATTAGAAACTGAAGGTAATATTGATCAAGTAGAAAGTGAAAATAATATTTTACCTATTGATAGCTCAAACTTAGATTTAACTGCTTTTGCACAAACTATAACGCTTTTGCGAAGTCAACAAAATTTAAACTTTTCTCCTTTAAATATTGCTACAGTAAATTTACCAGTAACTATGGCTCAATTTAAACCCGAATATTTAAGTTGTGTCCCAAAATTCGAGGGAAACCCTTGCGAGCTAAACAGATATTTAGCGACTTGCAAATCTCTCATAGATAATTTTTATGATACTGTAAATGTAAATTGTTTCCAAAATATATTTTTAATAAACTCTCTTATAGGTAAACTTTCTGGCAATGCTAGATTAGTGGTTAATGTTCAGAATGTCTCCACCTGGGACGGTCTAAAAAATACATTGACTAGACATTTCGCGGACAGACGCGACGAGTCTTGTTTGAATAGAGACCTTGTTTTAACCAAACAAAATGCTAATGAGACCCCTCAATCTTACTATGATAGAATTCTCGAATTACTTAATTTACTCTGCAGTTACGTAGATGCTCACGACGATGTGGCTACTGCCCAAATAAAACGAAATTTGTATACAGAACTTGCTTTAAAAACATTCTTGGCCGGTTTAAGAGAACCTTTAGGCAACACAATTCGTTGTATGTCACCAAAAGATTTAGCTGATGCCATACAACTTGTTATTCGAGAGAGTAACACAAAATATTTCCAAAATCAACCCAATCACAATAATAGCAATGCAAATCATACAAAACCAAAACCTCAACAACATCAATTTCGATTTAATGGTCCAACCAGAAATTTTGGTTATAATAACTATACACCAAATCAGTTTAAGCAGCCCTTTCCGTCACAACCTATCAATATTAGACCTAATGCAAACATCCGCCCACAAAAATTCTTTTCTAACTCCCAAGTTTTTGGTAAACCAAAACCAACAAACGTATTTAGACAAAATCCTGGAAAAATCTTGCCAAAGCCCACACCAATGTCAGGTGTAAGTTTCCAAAACACCCAAAATTTCACACCAGTGGCTCAAGCATCAAATTTCCAGCAACCACAACAACAGTACCAGCAACAGCTCAAATATGCATTTGAAGAATTATTTACTACAGAACTAGATCCAACTTCTGAAGAATATCAATACAGTTATTCAAACGTCATCAATCAAACGTACCCCGAAAATAATGCAAATTATGATGAACAGCAGATCTATAACCCCGAAAATTCTTATTATTATTATGCTGACCCAGCACAGATAAATTATACAAATGAAACTCAAGAAGAACCGACCACATCAAATCAGGCTGTGGAATCAAATTTTCAGGAATCAGCCGAAGACAATCAGAATATTTGACGGAATCGCCCCCAGTGATTTCATTAAATTTAAACAACACCAGTGAACTCTCATACATAGTATTTCCTGAATACAACGTCAAAATTTTAATTGATTCAGGTTCCACGAAATCTTTTATTGACCCAAATATAGCATTTAAATTATTTCCGAATTTCGTTATTAACGATCCTTTCATCGTTAGTACGGTATTCCAGAAATCAGCCCATAAATATAGTGCTAACATACCAGCACCTAAAATATTTAATTTACCCAAAAAAGGAAAACTCAAATTTTACCTATTCAAATTCCATAACATTTTTGATGGTTTGATAGGCCTTGACAATTTAAAATTATTACAAGCAAATGTTGATTTTAATAGTGGTTACCTTATTACGCCCTATGCAAAGATCAAATTAAAATATCAACAAACACAAAACGAACTTAATTGCATTACTGTTGAAGCGAGAACAGAAAAAGTAATTAAAATCAAAACATCTATAAAAAATGGCGAAATTATTGTTCCCTATATGAAATTACACAATATTGAAATACCCGAATCACTAACAATCGCAAAAGATGGCTATGCAATAACAACAATCTTAAATAACTCTTGCGAGCCAATTACTTTAGATTTTTCAGAACAAATAGAAGTCGACTCTTTTGAAAGAAATAATATCGAGATGATAGATTTAAATAATTTTGACGAATCACCCAAACAAAGATTAGATTTATCAAAAATTCGCGTTGATCATCTTAATGATGTAGAAAAATACAAAACTTTGGAACTGTGTGAAGAATTTTCAGATATTTTCTATCAAGAAAATACACCTCTATCTTTCACTAGTAACTTGAAACATCATATACAAACGACAGATGAGACTCCAATTTATACTAAAACTTACAGATACCCGTTCATCCATCGCCAAGAAGTAAGAAATCAAATAGAAAAAATGTTAGATCAAAAAATTATAAGACCTTCAAATTCTCCCTGGTCCTCACCAATTTGGGTGGTACCAAAAAAATTAGATGCTACAGGAAAGCAAAAATGGCGTGTAGTCGTGGACTACAGAAAACTGAACGAAAAGACAATCGATAACAAATACCCGCTACCAAATATCACGGATCTTTTAGACAAATTAGGTAGATGCCAGTATTTTACAACATTAGACCTTGCATCAGGCTTTCACCAGATTGAAATGAATGAAGCCGACATACAAAAAACGGCCTTCAACACTGAAAATGGGCACTACGAGTACCTTAGGATGCCCTTCGGTCTGAAGAATGCGCCTGCTACCTTTCAAAGCATAATGGATTCAATTTTAAGGGGTATTCAAAATGAAAAATGTTTGGCATACCTAGATGATATCATTATTTTCTCGACATCCTTACAGGAACATCTAAATAACTTGAGAAATGTTTTCCAACGGCTACGTGACTCTAATTTCAAGATCCAGCTTGATAAAAGCGAATTTTTGCGTCGCGAAGTCGCATACCTGGGTCATATTGTGACGCCAGAGGGAGTCAAACCAAACCCCGATAAAATTAAAGCAATTAAGCAGTATCCGATACCGAAGACTACAAAGCAAATTAAAGGATTCCTAGGACTGTTAGGCTACTACCGGAGATTTATTAACAATTTTGCAAAAGTTACGAAACCTCTCACCAAATGTTTGAAGAAAGGCGCTAAAATCAATCATGACGAAGAATTTATTAACTGTTTCAAAATGTGCAAAAATTTACTAACAAATGAACCCATACTCCAGTATCCTGACTTTTCAAAACCTTTTAATTTGACAACAGACGCGAGTAACTTGGCCTTAGGAGCAGTACTTTCCCAAGGGCCAATTGGACAAGATTTACCGATCGCCTATGCCTCACGCACGCTCAACGACTCTGAGTGCAACTATTCTACGATAGAAAAGGAATGTTTGTGTCTTGTTTGGGCAACCAAATATTTCCGCCCTTATCTCTATGGCAGAAAATTTAACATCATTACAGACCACAAACCGCTTCAATGGCTTTTTTCAGTTAAAGAACCAACTTCAAAATTACTTCGCTGGAGAATAAGACTAGAAGAATTTAACTATCAAATTATTTACAAGAAAGGAAAATTAAACACAAATGCGGACGCCCTATCGAGAATAGAAATTCATACTAAAGAAACAACAGAAAATATTTTTGACCTGCAAAAATATGTAGAAGACGTGACTAAAAATTTAGAGGACAACAACCACCAAAATAATGACGAAATTCCTAGCACAAGTCACGAAAATATGGATCAAATATCAGTTGTAGCACAACCGGACAATGACCCACCAGAAATCGCGCAAGATGCCGATGATGCAACTATCCATACAAACGCCGACCAAAACCCTGTAGTAGGAGTACCTATTATTGAAACAGCTGTCAATTATAGTTCTAATCAAATAATATTGCAGCAGGTACACCACTCACCAGCAAGAGCGAAAATAATTGTACTATTTAACAAGAAACGTAGAATAATAGTACAACTATCGCAGGAAAATTTCGAGGAAGACATCATGAAATTTATCAAAGAATTAATAGTGCCAAATAAACCATACCACCTTTACTTTGAAAATCCAGAGGCTTATGAACCATTTTGCCGAGTCATCAAGAACAATTTTAAATGGCCCTCCTTACAATTTAAAAGATGTACTTCAAAACTACTCGACGTTACCAACAAAAATGATATTAAAGAAATCATACAAAATTACCACGAAAGCAAGTCAAACCACCGCGGCATAGAAGAAACAGTTCAAAGATTAAAAACAAAATATTACTGGCCCGATCTTAAAAGTTCCGTCCAATCTTACA